AACCTTTGCGCAGTGGAACATGCATTTAGGACTGCCGCCCTCAAAACTTGTTTCTTTTTTTGTTCAGTTTTTCATCTGTGCACCCTCTTAACACTTGGCAGAAGCCTGTTCTGTCCACATTCCTGTGCCCCCTTTTCACATTTTGGCAAAAGAAGTGAGGGGGTTTGAATGTGTTCATGGGCACCGGGCTGGATGGAGCAAAAGCATTGGTTTCTGCATCAGTGCATTTGTCTCCACGTGTGCAGACTGGGTCTGAACGGGCAAACCCTATGCATTGAAGTTCCCTCGGGAGAAAAGCCTTCGAGTAAATGCAGATATATGATAACTCCCCTTCTTCTCCCTTTTTATATCCACGGACTCAACTACCTCCTTAGAGAAAATACATAATACACTGGAGAAGTAGATGCCACCAGAAACCCTCTAGAACAGAGAGTTTTGTGACCCCAGACCTGAATTCATCCATGCAATCAGATCTGTGAGGACAACCGTGTGTGTGTGTGGGGGGGGGGGAGGTCTGTAGGAGACCAAAGGTCCCTTGGGTGGCACAAACTATTTGTGATTGGCCAGTTGGCTACTTAGCTAAAGGTTGGCAGTTGGAACCCATCCAGTAGCCATGAAGAAAGGTCTGATGAGCCGCTTCCCCAAAGATGACAGCCAAGCAAACCCTACGGAGCAGGTCTACACTGTCACCCGTGGGCTGCCACGAGTTGGAATTCGCTTAATGGTGATTGTGTTGCGTTATTTGTTTGTTTGTGCGGAACCAGATGAAGAGTTGCTATTAAACTAAGGTGACCAGACGTTCCACTTTTGGAAGGACAGTCCCGATTTTTGACAATTTTTCCCGCGGCATTTTTAAAAAATTCCAATTTTTGGAAAGAATGCACGACAAGCTAGGTTTCGGTTTTCGGCTGTCATGTGGCTATTTCTCCAGGATATGAGTTTTATCAATGGTGTCCCGCTTTCTTCCTGCTTTACCAATGTTAAAATCTGGTCACCTTACTTAAAATAAAAAGGGCCCAACCCAGAAGAAGTAAGCCAGCTTGTGTGATCCCAGGATTGTGAATGATAAAATCCAAACTTGAAGGAGGGAATGATATCTGAGCTTAAATCACGAATAGCCAGGCCATAGCTGACAGTAGAAGCTCAAAATCCATTTGCAGGGTCCACGTTTGGGTTAAGGTTCCCGTGACTCCCCTCTGACCGCAGACCAGGCGTGTGAATACCCTTGCTATCAGGCCACAGGGGGTGGGGTTTTGCTTTGTTTTTCTCTACTTTGTTTTCTATGTTTTTTCCTGTTTAAGAAACCTAGGATGGGTAGAGCTACAGAGACAGTGACTTCATTGATGATGGATTTGGGCGGGGTGAGGGGTGGTGTTTGGGGAGGTGGGCAGCTGTTGACAATGAGTACAAGGAAGAGGTAAGTGTTCAAAAATTGATTGTGGAGTCGATTGGACAGCTTTTATTCATACACTTGAATGATTGAATTGTATAATATTTGAAATGTATGCTAACACACCTGTTTAATGAAAAAAAAAACCCCAAAACTTAAATACCAAGGGCCCCTTTCTCTGGTTCCAGCTTCATTGGAGAACAGCTCATCGCTGGGAAGTCCGTGGAACCAGAACACTTCGACTCGGTGACCATCTTCTTCTCCGACATTGTTGGATTCACCAAGCTGTGTTCTCGCAGCTCCCCTCTGCAAGTCGTGAAGCTCCTCAATGACCTGTACAGCTTGTTCGATAACATCATTAAAGTGTACGATGTGTATAAGGTGAGCCGTCTGGCTCCTGGCTGAGGAGCAGCACGCGCTCCTTGCCGGCTGCCTGGGGCTCGAGGTAGGAGGGACGGTCCATCTGGATGCGTGGCCGGTCCTTTATTCCTGTTTGTTTTCTCGCAAAAGCGCGTGATGCAGCGGAGATTCCCCTGCTTGTCAAGAACCCTCGGGTTCCGTCCATGATTGTATGTGATCTAATAGTAACGTTTCTGAAGGGAGTTGCCCTTCTGCTGGCTAATTGCTCCTCTCCCCCCATGACTAAGTGGTTGTCAGATGCACCGAAGTCCCTATCTTTCACTTCTTTAAAGGCTGTCTTGGGGCGTACTCGGACCTCATTTCTGTTAGGCGATGCTAAGCACTTCAGAGTGACGTCGGGCCTGCAGTTTTAGATTCTCACTTCCGGCTTCAGCAAATAGTCACCTGACTCGCTTTGCTCAGAGAATGGACACCTCGAGTGAAGAAATATATATTATGGGGGGGTGGGCGAGGGGGCTGGTGGGAGTGGGGAAGGGGGAATAGCAAACACAATAATAATTCTGCTTCCTTAAAGGACATACTCAGCTAACCAACAGAAGACTCACACGGTGGCTCTCCTGGCTGTTTTGTGTGCTTTCTGGCTTCAGATGGGGTCTTGGCAAGCACGGGAATCTACAGGGCCCACGGTGCACGCTGGCCCTGAAGCATGTGGGCAGCCACGTAGGTACCTGCCCACACAAGCGATACCAGGACTCTGTCTCCGCTAACAACCTCCTGGCTAGGGAGAGGCAGGCATGTCCGTCGGGGACACATCCTCAGTGGTTGCCCTGTGTTCCCACAGATGTCCCCCTCTGTTCAAGGGGGAACGATAGGATGGCATGGATAATTTTAATGCCAAACCTGCTCTGTTTAGGAAGGTGCTCTCTGGGAATTGTCCTCCGAGTGCTACCTGCCTTCTCAGAGTTCCAGGTGGGTCTGTAAGTGGTCATGTAGGCAGCTGCTCACTGACAGGTTGGCTCAAGCTGACCCAGAGGTGCCTGAGAAGAAAGGACTGGTGGCCACCTCCCCAACCATCAGCCACTGGAAGCCCAAGGGAGCACAGTTTGCCTCTGACCCACATGCGGCCGTCGAGGCTCACAATCAACTCCCTGGCAATGAGCTTCGGGCTGATGATCTTCTCTGCTAGGTTTCACAAGGGCCCGTCTTGACGTAGCTCCCTCAAGGGGATTCTCATGGAGGGAGAGGCACCCTAGAATCCAGTTGGACTTGTGAGCTAGTGGACTTGGTGTCATTTCAGGGTTGCCTGCAGATGGAGGTGCGCTTACTGCTCTGTAGTGCAATCAAACAGTGGCGTTGCACCCTTGCATCACCTCTCAGCGATGCCTCAAGCATATCTGGATGGGCTGCAACCTTGAACTCCTGGGAGTCACTGCTTTCGCTACAGTGATGGGAGCATTTGAAAGCTGATTGGAGGAGGATTGGGGGAGAAGCCGATAGGCCAGGCAGACACATTGATAGACATTAAACCTGAAATCCCACTGCCACCGAGTTGGTTCTGGTGCATAGCAACCCTCTAGGGAGAATAGAACAGTCCCGTACGACTCCCCACTGTCATCATCTCTAGGGAGTAAATTGCCCTGACTTGTTTCCATGGTGATGCTGGTGGATTTGAACTACCTACTTCATGCTTAGCCATTAATCTCTAGAACCACCACAACCCCCTTTTTATGCCCCTGCGTACACAAACACGTCTGTGAGAGCCTTTCTGTGAGGACAGGGCATTTCAGGCTGGATTCTTTGTGATGCACGTGGTCTTTCCAGTTGACCTATGAGCATACTGCTGTCAGTCTCAGTCTCACCATCCTGAGCTGACTGTGGGCCGGGGCAGCGGGGAGAGTTGGGGGTGGAGGGATGACCAGCAGAGGAAGAGAAAACATCTGTGGAAGGAGGGTCGAGGAGGGAAAGCGTTGTGGAAGAAGCCGGACAGGAGCAGACATTCGAGGGAAAACTGGGTCCTGTGTGGGGGGTGGTGGAGGCAATGAAATGCAACGGCTTCAAAGACGGAGTGGCTGGTCCCGGGGGCCTTCTCTTGACCGCGGTCCAGCCCCCAGAGCACAGGACATCACCCGCCTGCTCTGCTTTCAGGTTGAGACCATTGGCGATGCGTACATGGTCGCTAGTGGACTTCCCATCCGCAACGGGATCCGGCATGCGGATGAGATCGCCACAATGTCCCTGCACTTCCTCAGTGCCACCGTCCACTTCCAGATTGGGCACATGCCCGAGGAGAAGCTCAAGGTTCGGATTGGTCTCCACACAGGTAGGCAGCACAGATGGCAGGCGGGGCGGGGGTAGGGGGTGGGGGTGGGGGTGCAGGGTAGCGACTTCTGTGTCCGGAGTCGTAGCTGGGAGGCTCTTGAGAACCTTAAAATGGAATGACGCCATTTAAGTGGAAGCAGAAGCTTCCCTGGTATTTCCATGTCGCCAGATTGCTTGCTAACAGCCAGGACGCACCAACAACAGAACCTCAAACCCAAACGGGGTGCAGGCCCACCCGGAGGATGGTGGCACCGGGCGGCTTTGATCAAATTCCAACCCCGAGCTGGAGTCACGGGCGCGCGGCCTGTACAGACGTGCCCTGCAATTGCTTCCATGCTCTGCGGCCGCTGTCCTGAAATTCGGAATCGTTTTTTGAACAAGGGGCCCCACATTTTTCTTTGGCATGGGCCCTACCCTCCACATAAGGTAGCCTGCCCTGCTCCAACTTATACCCTCCAAGGTTCAACTGAAAGAAAATATGATCCGCAATCAGAATGAATGACCGGTGCGTGTGCGCCTCGGTTGCCCCTATGTAGATTTCCAGTGCACCGATGGCGCGCTATTTTTAATTGATGATGGCCCAAGTCTATTTCCACCCCAGGACTTATTGCCAAACCTTGCCCCAAGAGGGCGCTGGACAGCTACTTCGTGAGGGGCGTTCCCTTAGTTGCCCTGGGAGCGCAAGGTCTCAGTCCTGGGGAAAGGCCAGGCGGTGACGGCCTGTGGGTCTTCACTTCACAGGTCCCGTGGTGGCTGGCGTGGTGGGGATCACCATGCCCAGATACTGTCTGTTTGGAGACACCGTGAACATGGCCTCCAGAATGGAAAGCGGCAGTTTGCGTGGGTATCGCTTGCAGCATCTTGCAAATTCAGCATCATTGTTCCTCCAGATAGTTCTTTCTAGAAGAGGCGTTTGCAGGTTGCCCACCTTCTTCCCCCTGGAGGTTAAAGAACACTGTCCACCCTAACCACACTGATCACAAGCTGGGTAGTGCCGTGACAAAGGAGTGCTGTGTCCTTTACGAGACCGGTCATCTAAGACGGTCTCTTCTAAGCAGTCAGCGGCACACAGAGGAGGCAATCGTTTTAATAGGACACCTTTTCTGTACAAGGCCAGAGAGCAATAGGCTACGCCTTCCGGGACACAGGGCCCCTGTCACATGACTGAGTTGCAAAGCAGCCACAGACAATATGTAAATGAACGGGTAGGGCTGCATTTCCACGACACTTTTATTAACAACAGGCATGGACCTGCAGTTAGTCTGTGAGTCCTAATTGGCTGATCCCTGATCTTCTTGCTTGTGCGGAAGAACTCTCTGGCCAAGGAGTCCAGGCCGCTGCATGCTCTTTTGCTTGAAAGCAATGTTACCGCCCTGACGATGACTAGAGGCATTTACCAGCTGAAGTGTGAGAAAAGAATGACTCGTTGATTTAAGTTGCAAAGAGTGGAGGCCAACCTTCTTTTAAAAAACTGAAATCAAACTCACTGACCTTGACTCGATGCTGACTCAGAGTGGACCTGTAGGACGGGGTAGAACTGCCCCTGGGGGTTTCTGAGGGAGTATGAAGTTTCATCTCATTCTTGGGAATCAAATTGCTGACCTGGTGGTTAGCTAACCTGGTGGAAAATGACAAATTCCCCAGAACATATAGAAACAAGCAAACATGTTTTCCACTTCTTATTACTTGATGGTGAAAGTTAATCAACCAAGCCTCAAGCACAGACTTGGTTAGGGTGGAATAATTTCTTAGTGCGTTGTGAAGGTTTTCAGCTTTAAAGTTTGAAATTGGGAACTGTCTATGAAGGCTCTAAAGGGGCCCTGTGGCATAGTGGTTATACGTTGGGCTACAAACCACAAGGTTAGCAGTTCAAAACCACCAGACATTCCATGAGAGAAAGATGGGGCTTTCTCTCCTGTAAAGAGTTACAGTCTCAGAAGCCCACGGGGCAGTACTATCCTCTCCTTATAGTGTCGTCATGAGCCCGAATCAACTCGATGACAGCGAGTTGTTTCTGTTTTATGGAGGTGCTAAACTGAGTCCTGGTTCTGGTGACAAACATATTTCCAGTCATAAGACCTGGCTCAGAAACCATCCCCCCAGGCAGCCTTTTTTCTGCTGAAATCTGAGGCCACTGGTTACTCTCCATTGATGGGAAGCCCCCGCTTGCAGTGGATCCAGTTCTGCCTTCTGTCTCTATCCTGAACTTACTGCAATTTCCGCAGCACCCAACCAGGTCTGGGCAATGTTGGAGTGGGGGTGTGATGAGATGGGTGGGGTGTCCCAGCCCAAGTGTCCCAGGTTCCAAGATTTGCTTAAACAGAAGCCCTGGTGACCAGAGAACTCGAGCCATGTGGTGTTCCCTCTGCAAAGCTGCCCACCCCTGGGCCCTCATAGGAGAGCCACGAGCAAAGGCTGACTAGGCCATGATTGGTTTCTGCAGCTCTCCGGATTCATGTCTCTCAGAGCACCGCCGGCGTCCTGCTGAAGTTGGGAGGGTATGATTTGCAAGAGAGAGGCACCATTCAAGTCAAGGTAAGGCCAGGCCAACCGCACCCCCTTCTGCCCACTTGGGTCACTGATGATTGGGGGCGTTGAGGAACTTGGCTGCATGCATGAATCCAGCGTACAGTGGTCAGTGGAATGTCTACGGTCCATCTCTGGACGTCCTCATGACTGCAAGGTCTTCTTCTTCCAGACAGACCCGTCCCCTTAAATAGTCCAACATGGACACCACAACAGAAAATACCTTAGCTACCACCTAGACCAGGGGTGCTCAACCTTCCTAATGCCGTGACCCTTTAATACAGTTCCTTATGTTGTGTTGACCCCCAACCATAAAATTATTCTCGTTGTTACTTCATAACTGTAATCTTGCTACTCTTATGAACCAGGCGATCCCTGTGAAAGGGTCATTCGACCCCCAAAGGGATCTCAACCCACAGGTTGAGCACTGCTGACCTAGACCAGCTTCCTTCTCCCTGCCACAAGTGGTTCTCTAGCTTCGGCTTCGGCAGTCCCAGTCCCATCTGCCAGATCCAACCCTGGGAATCACCATGCTCACCTTTCTTTTGGCTTCCTTTCACCCAAGACTCAAGTGTCCAAGTTAAAGGGACAGAATCCGCTGGTTTGCGGTTGGCGGTGCCAGGGCCTCATTGACCTCTCCCTTGCCTTGAGCTGTCTGGCCCACAGTTGGACCCTGAAACATGTCATTGGGACATTGTCACCCTTCTCATAAACACTACTCTTCCCCTAGGGGAAGGGGTACTCCTCTTGAGAGGAGGTCTTTCTGGGAGACTCTCAGGCAAGTGTCTTAACACAACTTCTTTTATCCCAACCCCTTTCTTCTAGTGTGGCAGGCTGGCTACTGAGCTATTGGCTATTTGAGAGGGTGTGGGCCTCCAGAGAAGAGAAATAAAAGGGGACGAGGGCATGATCAACTCTCTAGTTCGCTGAGTCTGACTCTGGCATGCTATATTTGATCAAGTGAGTTCGGGTCAGAGAGGATTTTTCTAGCATGGCAGCCATGTAGACCTGGCTTTGAATCCTGCCTGACCTTTCACTTACTCACTGTCTGATTTGGAGACTTAGTTTTCTCATCTGTAAATGGGGCCGATGATAACACTGGCCATCAAGGGTCTTTTTGAGGATGAAATATGAACATGTATAGGGGCGACTTCACAGGTGCCCAGTTTATAGAGTTCATGGTGAAAACTCAGGATCATTAGTACTTTGAAATGTTCCTTTCCCATGACCGGAGTGGCGGGGCTCACGGGGGCCTTCTCTCTCTCTCTCTTTTTTTAATTGTTTTATTAGGGGCTCATACAACTCTTATCACAATCCATACATACATCAATTGTGTAAAGCATATTTG